TTTCATTTCTTATTGCATGAATTTGAGCTTTTTCTTTCCTTTTTTTAATAAGGTTGGCTAGGGGCTTATCGATTTCATTTATTCTTTCAAAGAACCAACTCTTTGATTCATTGATTCTTTGGATTGTTTTCTTAGTCTCTATTGCATTGATTTCTGCTCTGATTTTTATAATTTCCTCTCTTCTTTTGGCTTTGGGCTTGACTTGCTCTTCTTTTTCTAGCTGTTTGAGGTGTAGCATCAAGTTATTTATTTGTATTCGTTCTGTTTTCCTGATGTGGGAACTCAGTGCAATAAATTTTCCTCTCAGAACGGCTTTCATTGCATCCCACAGATTCCGGTAAGTTGTATCTGCATTTTCATTTTCTTTTAGGTATTGTTTAATTTCTTTTTTAATTTCTTCTGTGACCCACTGATTACTCAAGAGTGTGTTATTTAGTTTCCATGTGTTTGCGGAATTTTTGCAGTATCCTTTGTCATTAATTTCTAATTTCAGAGCGCTATGATCCGATAATATGCAAGGGATGATTTCAACTCTTTTGCATTTGCTTAAATATGTTCTGTGAGCTAATATATGGTCTATTTTAGAAAATGATCCATGTACTGCTGAGAAGAATGTGTATTCTGATGTTGTTGGGTGGAACATTCTGTATATGTCTATCAAACCCATTTGTTCACAGGTGTGATTCAGTTCTGTTATTTCTTTGCTCATTTTCTGTCTGGTTGATCTGTCCCTTGGTGTCAGTGGTGTATTAAGGTCTCCTGTTACAATTGTGTTACTGATAATTTGAGTTTTCATTTCTGTTAATAATTGTTTTATATAACTGGGTGCTCTGGAGTTTGGTGCGTATATATTTAAGATAGTTATCTCTTCCTCTTGGAGTTTTCCCCTTACGAGTATGTAGTGACCTTCTTTGTCCTTTATGGTCATTGTTGGTTTAAAGTTCACGTTGTCTGCAAACAGAATGGCTACTCCTGCCTTTTTTTGGATTCCTGCTGCATGAAGAATTGTTTTCCATCCTTTGACTTTCAGTCTGTGAGTATCTTTCTGGGTTAGATGGGTTTCCTGTAAACAGCATATGGTTGGATTTTGTTTCTTGATCCATTCTGCTAGTCTGTTTCTTTTGATTGGTGCATTGAGACCATTTACATTAATGGTTATTACTGTTAAGTGCTGGTTAATTGTAGGAATGTTATCTCTCTGCTGTTGCATCTTTATCTTTCGGTTCTGTTTAATTATTTGCTTTGCTTAGTGGTTTTTTCCTTTGTGTATCTAAACTGTCTTTCAATATTTTTTGCAGGGTTGGTCTGGTGTTCATGAAGTTCTTCAGCTGTTCTTTGTCATGGAAGTATCGTATTGCACCATCTATTTTGAATGATAGTTTTGCAGGATATATCAGTCTTGGTTGGAAATCATTTTGCTTTAGGATCTGGAATACTTCACTCCATGCTCTTCTTGACTTTATCGTTTGTGCTGAGAAGTCTGCTGTGATTCTGATAGGTTTTCCTTTATAAGTGATTTGTCTTTTCTCTCTGACAGCTTTTAATAATCTATTCTTGTGTTGGATTTCTGGGATGGTGACTATTATATGTCTGGGTGTAGTTTTATTTTGGTTATGACTGTTTGGAGTTCTATATGCTTCACTGATCCTGATGTCAGTTTCTGATCTCATGCTTGGGAAATTTTCAGCTATTACTTCTCTAAATATCCTCCTGACATCCTTCATGTTGTCTCCCTCTCTTTCATTAATCCCTATCATTCTTATGTTATTCTTCTTTGCATCGTCTTGCAGTTGTTGAATTGTTGTTTCCTGGTTCCTTGTTATTTTCAAAAGATCTTTCCTTTCCTGTTCACTAGCTGCAATCCTGTCTTCAAGGTCTGAAATTCTATCTTCACTTTCATTAAGGCGGTTTTTACAACGTTCAGTGGAGTTTTTTATTTCCTGTATATCTCTGTGTATCTGCATTATGTATTCTGTTTGTTTCTTATATTGCTTGTCTAGGGATTCTATCTTTTTGTTTAGTTCCTCCAATTTTTTATCTGTGTTTTCTTTAGATATATTTAGAATCTCTTTCATTTCTTTTATCATTTCTTCTTTTATCTGGGAGATTATTTCGAGTTTGAATTTCTTTAAAGCTTCCTGGAGTTGCTTGTCAATTTCAGTGGCTATTGTGTCCGATATATGAGGTGGATGGGATATATTTTCTTCTATATACATCGCTCCTAGGGTTTCTTGAGATGGGCTGGAGGTTTGAGGTTGTAATTTGGTCTTTCGTTTTGTCATTTTCCTATATTTCTGTGTTTCAAGTGTTATTTGAAAGCTTCCTCAGGATCTGTTGAAAATCCCCTTCTATGTTTGGAGCTACTGGGACTCTGGCGCCGCGCTACTCCAAGCCATTAGGCCTACAGAACCAGTGGCCCTCCTCTGCCTGCTCAGAACTCCGCAGTTCCAGATAAGCTGGGCCTCAGGGACACTGTGCACCCACCTGCCCCTGGAAGCTCCACAGTTCTTCAATCGCAGCCGGGTTAGGGTACTCACCACAGGCCGCAGTGCTTCAGGAACCTGTGGACCCTCCCTGGTTGCAGAGATATCCACAGTCCTCCAGACACGCAGAGAGGCCGGTGAGGGCACCCCAGATCTGCCCAGCTCCTCCGCTGCAGACCTATGGCCAGGCGCGGCAGCTAAACAGGCTGGGCTAGGCTGGTAGTGTGGGCCAGCCCACCTATCGGGAGCTCAGCAGGTCTCCAAATGAAGCAGGCAATGGGGAGGCTGATGTGGAAGCCTCAAACCCACCTCTCCCCTTCACTGCACCTGGAAGCCTGAGGGAACTCCAGCAGACTGGGCGCAGAAATCCAGAGTCCTCCAGACACGCAGAGAGGCCAGTGAGGGCACCCCAGATCTGCCCAGCTCCTCCTCTGCAGACCTATGGCCAGGCGCGGCAGCTAAACAGGCTGGGCTAGGCTGGTAGTGTGGGCCAGCCCACCTATCGGGAGCTCAGCAGGTCTCCAAATGAAGCCGGCAATGGGGAGGCTGATGTGGAAGCCTCAAACCCACCTCTCTCCTTCACTGCACCTGGAAGCCTGAGGGAACTCCAGCAGTCTGGGTGCAGAAATCCAGAGTCCTCCAGACACGCAGAGAGGCCAGTGAGGGCACCCCAGATCTGCCCAGCTCCTCCTCTGCAGACCTATGGCCAGCCACAAGTATATTTCAATGTACAATTACATAGGAAAAATAATATGCAAAATTGGTCTCTTCACTTCGAAAAAATGGAATTTTCTTACAAAGGTCGTCATTATGTGATTTTTTCTCATCTTTTAGCATAAATCTGACATTTATCTGTCATTGCTGGGTCTTGTGAGATTTGCATTAAATTAACTTTATCTCTTTATCATACATGCAGATCTTAAGCCCAGCCCACTAGAAAAATTTTTCTGGAGTTTAATAAAGATGAAAAACATAGAAAGATAAAATCTATGAATCTGAAAATCACCAGGGACACTTTCTTACTGCTACATCTTTTTCTTAATGTTGAAAGAATTGCCTCATGAACTAAATTTTTGATAGAGAAAACAACTTTCAAAGCATAATTTTAATTTTTTTATTTACTTTCACTTACAATTCTTCAAAGCAATAAAAGTATACATAAAGAGGTCCTAAAGGTCTCTCTTTCTCCTAAGAGAATTTATGCTTCTAAATCATCTTAATATTAGAAAAATAAGCATTGGTTCGTAAGTTCAAACCCTGAAATAAACTAATTTCTATTAATAAAACTTAAACATGAAGTATACACACATTAGTAGGCTGAAATTCAACTCTAGTCCATAAGTATGTAGCTCTTAGGGGTGCAGGAGCCATGAATGTGGAAAATACTCTATTCATGATGATATGAGAGGATGTTTGGGTAAAAAATATCTATGTTCAAAGAGCAAAGCTATGTTCCATAAGTCCGCGTTCATGCAGGTGATTGACTCAAAACTTACAAATGAAAAAGAGGAATAGGGTAGTTGCTTAACATAGAAACATGTATTACTGGTGTCTAGAACTGTGATTTCCCAACTCTAATGAAACGATGTCAGAAAATTCAATTATCAGTCTACAGTTCTGTACATGGGAAGAAAAGCCATCCATCTTCAGCAAAGACCCAAGCACTTTGAAGAAGTATATTTAATGTTTTTAAATAGAAACAAAACATGCAATAGCATTGTTAGCTTGTTAAATATTGTAAGGCTACACAGATTCTGCTACCATCAAAATAAATCTGAAATATTTCCAGCCATATTGGAATATGGCCATAATATTTAAATCTTCTACTGGTTGTTTTTTTATTCCCTCTCTTATCTTCTGTAAGCTGGGATCATTCATTTGTGCTTTGCAGAATTATAGAAAACAGTCACTAACTCATAGCCAAAAAAACAAAAATAGAATTTTTAGATCTGCATTCCTAACATTCTAACCTACATAAGAATGTTCAAAAATCTTATTACCCTTCAGCTTTTTGTTATTATTATTTATTTTTTACACTGTCATTCTTTGATTGATCATTTTTTATGCTTTGATTTTGTAACTTGCACTACTTCTAAAATAACAAATGTAATATATTAACTAGTGATGATTTCTTACTTTTTTTTGAAATTCTGTATAACTTCTACTGTTTTTTCTGTTTTTTTTTTTAAACAAAAAACTACGGGGGGGGGGGGGAGAATGTTCAAAAAAATGTCAAAGAGAATTGCAAATCCACTTTCTCACAACAGCCCATTGTAAAAATAGCCTCCAAATATTGCTGGGGCTCTTATGTTCCTTTTAATTGTTGTATTAGTATTTTGAAGCTTTGACATGTAACCCATTATCCCAAAGTTCTATGAAAAGGTACTTGATATTTACCTAATCAGATTTCCTCACGTAAACCATAGAGCGTGACAGCAATGCTAACCGGCCATTTACTGAGGCACAGCTCTGTGCAAACTCGCTGGGCTTTTCTTTGGCAGTTAGGAGTTTGCATTGGCTTCCGAAGGAGAGAGCCTGTGTCCAGCGGTGCTCCAGCTCAGGCTTCTGCAGCCCTGCACCCTTTCCTGTCAAAACGCGTGGAGTCAGGCTTGCACAACATGACCTGCGGACCCAGAGTCATTACCAAAAGTCACGGTAGGATTCCAAATTGAATGAAACCAAGCTGTGTTCTTAGTTTTTCTGAACTAACACGAGTGTCGAAGTCAGGACTGCCTGCTTGCAAGGCAGGCGCTTATGCCACTGAGCTAAATCCCCAGCCCCTGCACACGGCTGTTTTAATGGGGATGTAAAGTTCACGCGGCAATTAGGGAAGTTTCTTTGATGTCCATATTCAACTCACCAAGGCAGTTTTTCACTGACAAAGACAGAAATTCTGCCTAATACAGAGAGGCCCTGTTCACTATTCCCTACATACCTGTTCCAGCTCCTTAACCGCTGTCACTGCGAGTGTTTCCACTATTTAAAAATGTCACAAAAATGCTTCTCTCCTCCAAGCAAAGTCTGCGTCCAGTTTTTGTTTCGTTTTGCTGTTTTGGTTTTTTGTTTGTTTTCTTGTCTTGGTTTCGGTTTCGTTTTTCACTTTACTTGTGCCTGGGAAACTTTTGCTTCTCTTATAAATCGGCTTCACTTTATTGCTCTCCTTCCTTTTCTTATCATCTGCCTTCTGTCACAGCTCAGCTGGGAATTGATTGAATGAAAAAAGTGAGAGCTGGAATTGTTTCAAGTCATTTTCTTCTGAGCCTCAGGACACCACAGGAACTGATTCATATACTTCTCACCTCCTTGCAACCTTCTCTCATCTCTTCGGAGTACTAGTCTAAAAGCACAGAACAGCATGTGACAGACTGTCATCAAAGGAAATAATGGTCCCAAAACCCATTATCACTATGACACCTGATGCCCTAGACAGTGAGATTAATGTATTGCTTTTGCCAACACTTGTCAAGTTAAGAAAATTATAAAGTGTAATCAAGTTATCTTTCTCTGTCTGTAAGCTGTGCAAGGCTGTCTACTCCTATAATTAAATGGGATGTGCATTTTGAAATAAAGGAGATCAGATAGGTAGCAGTGAGTCTTGTGCTCAGTCTGCTTGAAATACTGCTTAGGAATTCTAATCTGAGCATTTGCCATCCTCTGTCTTCACTATGAAAAGGAAACTGTCTGTTAGGTGTGCAAAGAAGAGGTCTTTACCCCAAACTTCAAGACATGGTACACAAAATAGGAGAATAAATAAGACAGTAGCTACCATCTTTCCCCCTGTCTTCAGTTGCAGGAGAGAAGCATGTAATTCTAAATTGTAATATTTGGAAGTTTTATTAATCATATTACCATTAATACAAAATAAAATAAAAGTAAGGAAGCATGACGTGTCTAGAAGGTAGGAAGGAATTAAGGGAAGAAGGAACTATTGTGTGAACAAACCTAAAAGGTCACAAGAATAAATGCAAAACTGCACTACATTTTGTCAGTGTGATAAATGTATTCAAAGTCACATAAGCCTTGGACATTTCTAGTAGCTAAAGCAAAAGCAAATAAAGTGGGAATGGCACAATTACAAAATAAAGAACACAGTCAAAGGTGCATGCTGCTGAATTATATTTATGTTTTTATCTATGTGCTCTTTTTTATTCACTAGCTTAAGGGAAATGCTTTTAAAATTCATTATAGCTTGAGCTTGGCTCCTTTACGTAAAGTGATAAACTGTTTTAACTGCAGGTATTACTTTATAGGGAAATTCTTACTGAATTTCAAAGCTTAAACTGTCAGAGTTGTCACTTTCTTTTACATGGAATTCAACAAGACTTAAAATTCTTTCTGCTTGCTAGAATTCAAGTAGATTGGAAGCACAGCTCAGCACACTGGCCAAGGGAAGAAAAAGAACAGGATTATGGATGTATGCACTGCAGAACCACAGAATATAACATTATCTACTCTACCTCTCAGCATTGCTGTTATCCACACAAGTCAAGGAAAAAATCTTTACCTGTTCATATTGTTTCTTGAATTCCTCTAATTTACATATAGCTTAACAATAAAAGGTGTAGTAAATTGTATTATAGTCCTCATGGTGAACTGAGACTTCATAGTTTATAAAATTCTCTACTTACACTCTGATTTTTAATGCCTCATTTCTTCAAGACTTCTAATTATTAACTGACCTGAGTGTTTTAGAAAAGACTATCAGATACTCAACAGTTTCTGTCTTTCCCTTCTATTTTTAAAAATAGAAATTCTTTAAATCAGAGCAGATCACGATCAGTAAGGAAGGCACTATATTTTCTGACTTCCCTTGTCACAAGACATAGTTGTAAGACAAAGTTTAGGCACCTGGGAAATGGGCAAAAATGATGGCTTTAATTTCTAGATTAAATTCCTTTAAGAAATTCTCATCTCCCTCTTTCCCTCTTTAGCCTCCATGCAGACACAGCCCTTGTGAAATAACCTTGCAGTGTAGACGATGGAAACATTCTGACCAAAAAAAAAAAAAAAAAAAAGAAAGAAAGAAAGAAAAGAAACATTCTGACAAAGTGATGGAGTAAATAAATGAAAGGATCACAAACCTTGAAAACTGTCCCAGATCTAAGATATTTACCCCTCACTCCACCCCCAAATGCTTTGCCAACCTCTGTTCTCTTACATGAGAGAAAAACAAATATTGATTGGCTTGGGTTTACATTTAGCTTCCTTTGTTATAGCAATTTACCTTATATGCTGTCTATGGAAATTGACTTTTTCCAATGACTGTGGTCCTTTAAAAAATATAAAGACCATATAAATATTAAAATAGTCTTAAATAATAGATTCCAAAAAAGTAATACACATATAAATGTTAGTACTATGAGGAAAATGTTTTATATTAATTAATAGATCATTTAATTGTATAAATTAAAATTATCAGGGCAACTGTAAAACTCAAAAACTATCATAACTTAGGGTGTAGTTCAGTGGTACAGCACATGATTTGCATGTGTGAGGCACTGGGTTCAACCACCAGTATAGCAAATTTAAAAATAGAACTATTAAAAACTTAAAATTTTTATTTACAAAGATGTCTCCAAATTCCGAATTGCAATATATTTCATGAATGCAATGCTTCAGAATCAGCAATGGATATTTTTTGGAGCACATTCAATAAGTTTCTTGGCTACATTTAATAGGAATCTTCAAGAGAAAGCTCTAAAGAAATACGTCTTTAACCATCAACAACAGATGGTTTGAAATTTTCCATGAAAATATAGAGAGAAACTGACAAGATACTTTAATGGTGGATACACTGTCAAATTGAGAGTCTAGAAACTTAACTAAGTAACTCAGCAGTTCTATATCCTGCAGTGTAGAAGACATGCCCTTACCAGCTCTAGGATGTAGTTCCTTATGTCAAATTGAGAAGTTTAAAAGATTAACTAAATGATTCAGCAGGGGTCCAGGGTCCTCATTCTGTAAACATGCTGAGCCTGTGCAAGAGGAGGGCAAGGAGATGGTATGAGTGCTACATCTGCCCTGGAATTGGAGGGAGGGTGGTGTCCCACTTACAATAGAAGAGACAAAAAGAGACGTGTTCCCCCATTTTGTTCTTGTTGCTTTTGCTGTCTTCTTCAGTCTTGAAATGTTGCCATGCCACCCTGTCTTGGAACCAACTGATTATGGAATGAAACCTTACAAACTGTGAGTTAAATAAATCTTTCCTTCCTTAATTTTGGGCATTGGGTATTTTGTCTTAGCAATCAAAGAAAAGAAACTAAAACAGATAGATACACAAGGAAGATCTAGCTGTATGTTGCCTCTAAGAAACTCATTTTTGCTTTAGGGACACTGTCATGGTTTATGTCTGTGGCCCCCAGAACTCATGCATTTGCATTATACATTTGTGATTGGTTAATTGTCTAGCACTTGTATTGATGACGTCAGTGCTACACCCACATAGGGGCGGAGCCAGCATACAATGTAATGGCTGGAAGAAAGCGTGTCTCTCTTGCTGGCTTCCACCTTGCTGTTTGCAGCCGCTGTGAACTGCAGCCCCGCCATGCCACCCTGCCTTGGAGCCAACTGAGTAGACTGAAACCTCCAAATACTGTAAGAAACCTCCAAATACTGTAAGAAACCTTTCCTTTCCCAACTTTGGGCATCAGGTATTTTGTCTCACCAATGAGTAAAAAGTAACTAAGACAGACACAAATAGACTGAAACAGAAGAAACTGAAGAAAATACTCTATGAAATAGAAACCAAAAGAAAGTAGATGGGTACATTTCTGTCAATTAAATTAGAAGATGTCATTACTTATTGGAAAAGGAGTCAATCCATACATAAGACATACAATTATAAATATGTATTTCCTAAATCTTGGTATGTGTTTCCAAATATACGAAGCATACATTAATTGGCACAAAGGAAGAAATGGGTAGCAATATAATAATAGGAGGCTTCAATATCCCGCTTTGAAGAGTGGACAAACCAGACAGAAAAATCAACAAATACTGGTCTAGAATTTCAGTTTAGATCAAATGACACTAATAGATATACCATAGAAATTTCATTCAACAATATCATACTTTCCATTCTTATGGAATGTACATATGAAATAGCCTGAGGAAATACTATATGTAAGACCAAAAGACAATTCTTAACAAACTCAAGATTGAAATCATATCTAGGGTCACTTGCAGTAGTATAAAACTAAAAATCAGGAACAGGAGGAATCTTGGAAAATTTACCAAAAGATACAGAAATTAAGCATCATCTTGAACAAATAGGTCAAGGAAGAAATCTAAACAAAAATGGAAGTATAGCATGTCAAACCTTTTGCAATAAATAAAAAGTAATTCTAAGACAAAACTGATGACAAATTTGAGCATTTTAAACAGAGAAACCTGTAATTTCAGCATATGGGAAACTGAGGCAGGAAGCTCACAAGATTGAGGCTAGTCTGGGTCACACAGCAGGTTTCAGGCCAGACTAGACTACATAATGAGACCTTGTCTCTCTTTCTCTCTCTCTCTCTCACACACACACACACACACACACACACACACACACACATTCCCAAATAAATAGAGAAAATTTATGTCTAAATAATTAGAAAAAGAACAAACTAAGCTCTCAAAGTTAATAAAAACAAAAAATAAATACCATAACAGAAACGAACCAAATGGACAGTAAAAAAATCAGTAACACTAAGAATTTTTTTAAAAAAATAAGCAAAATTGACATCTCTGTAGCTTCAAATATATAAAATCAATAATTAAAGTAGAAAGACTATAACAGTTGTCTCAGAAATAAAGGATCATAAAGTGATATTATCCATAATTGCTATAAATTAGATGAGCTAGAGAAAATAAATGAATTTTTACAAAAATGCACTCTACAAAAACTAAATCAGGAAGATACAGAAAGTTTAAACAGATGAATAACAAGAAAGAGACTAAAATAGTATCTTAGTTACTTTTCTCATTGCTGAGCCAAAATATCCAAAACCCAAATTTAAAGGAGTACATTTGCTTCAGCTCACAATTTGTAGAGGTTTCAGTCCACAGTCAGTTGGTTCCAAGGAAGGGTGACATGGCAAAGGAGTATCACAGTGGAGAAATAATCCATGGCAAAGAGGTAGGAGACAGCAAAACAGCCAAGTTAGAAAGCAGCAGCATCTTATATCTCCCTTTTGTCCCTTTCAGGCTACCCACCTTCTGAGTGGGCCTTCCCACTCACACTCAGGGTGGGCCTTCCCATCAGCCACACCCAGAACTGTGCTAAATCAATCAGTGGACTACTTTGGTAATCACCCTTAATCCCAGCATCACACGCCTAAATCCAACCACTTCCAATAAACCCCACCTGTGACTACACGAGGCTTTGGGGACACATCCAGAGGCAAACTGCAATAAGTAGTAATTAAAACCTTCCAGCGGTGCCAGGGATTTAGCTCAGTGGTGTAGGTTCCTGCCCGGCAGATGCAAAGTCATGAGTTCAATCCCTAAATCCCTGTTATCAAAAACAAAACAACAACAACAAACCTGCATGGGAAGCACTACCTGAATTCCCAGAATCAACAACGGGGATCTAGTCTTATTTTTAAAAAAAAAAAAAAAACTCTCCAACAAAGAAAAATCCATGACGAGATGTCTTCTTGATTGAATTCCACCAAACACTCAAAAGAAAACTTTCCCAAAAATCAGAACTAGAAGAGTCATTTCCAAGCACTTTTAATGGAACCAGTATTATCTAGATACTTACCCCAGATAAAGACACCACAAGAAAAGAAAGCTACCGGCCATTATCACTGATAAACATTAATGCCAAAATCCTGAATAAAATATTAGCATAGCACATGCAACAATTCATCATAAAGATTATACATCAGGACAACGTGGTATTTTTTCCTAGCATGCAAAACTGAGTTAACAATGCTAATCAATCAATATGTGATATAACAGAATAAAAGATAAAATGACACAACCATCTCAGTCAATGCAGAACAAGCATTTGACACAGTTCAGAATCTTTTCTTGACTTAAAAAACTTAGCAGTTAAGGTATAAAGGGAGAGTTCTTCTATATAATAAAGACCATTTAGGAAAAACCACAAGCAATGTCATAACCATTTGAGCTTTTCCACCAAGATCCAAACACATCAGAGATGCCCAGTCTTCCAACTTCTATTCAGTGCAGTCCTTCCAGTACTAGTAAAAGCAATCAGGAAACAAAAATAAAAGAAAGCCACCCAAGAGGTAAGATTATCTTTATTTGCAGATGACATGCTCCCATATTTAGAAAATCTGGAACTTTCCACTCACACACTTAAAAATAATTTTAAAACTAATGAAGATTAAAAGATACAAAATAAACTTACAAAAATTGCTAAAATGCCTGTACACAAATAATGAACTAGCTATAAAAGAAATCAAAATAATAATTTCATTCACAATAAGATCAGAATAAAACAGGATTGGGAACGTAACAGTAAAGCACATACAAGGCCTTGGGTTCAATGCACAGCCTTGCAAAAAAAAAAGTACAAATAAATGTAACCAATAAAGTGAAAAACTTTACACACTGTAAACTAAAAAATATTAATAAAAGAAATTGAGGAAGACACAAATAAATGAAATTATATTCATATTGAAGATGGAAAAAGTTAATAGTAAAATGATCACATTAGCCAAGCTAAAATAGAGATTTAATGTCATTCCTAGGGAAACCTCAATTGTATTCTTAACAAAAGTAGTGAAAACAAACCTAAAATTCATGTGGAACCACAAAAAAATTAAAAATCCAAAGCACCACTGCACTAACAAAGCTGCAGATTTCACATTTCTTGACTTTATGCTGCACAACAGTAGTAACCAAAACGGATTGTTGTTATCACAAAAGCAGAAACATAGACTAACAGAACTCAACATAGAGCCTAAAAGTAAACACATACATACATGGGAACTAATTTTCAACAGGTCAGCAAGAGGACGCACACAGTAACAGACAGTCTTCAACGAACCGGTACCAGGAAAACTGGGTTTCCACATGCAAAAATATGAAATTAGATTCTTACCTTACCTTATATGCAAAAAATAAAGAAAAAACAACTAAAAATGAATTTTTTAAAAAATCCTAATGCCTGATACTATAAAACACCAAGAAAAGAACACAGAAGAAAACATTTTTACATGGACATTATTTTTTTGTGACTTGCCAGGCAGGTGCTGTACTGCTGAGCTATATCCCTGGTTCATACAGATCTTTATAATGATGATTTTTTTATATAACATAGTGAAAGATCCAGATACAAAAACAAACAGTAAAGTTAAATGTAACTATATCAAACCAAAAAATCATCTTCAGAGAAAAAAGAATCAACAAAATTAAAGATGATTCTACAAATTGAAAAAAAAAATAACCGTGCACCGCATGTCTGAAAGAGCTTACTATCTAAAATGTGTAAAGAACTGTTACAATTCAATGGTTAAAAAAACAAAAGAACATAATTAAAAATAAATGAAGAATCTAAACATACATTTCTTCAAAGATGACATAAAAATGACCATTAGGTACATGAAAAGGTATTCAACATCACAAAACATCAAAACAAAAATGTGAATTAGAATCATTATGAGATATCTTATACCTCTAAAGAAGGCTATTATCAGTTTATTATTATTCTTTTTTTGTCCTAGAGAGACAATAAGATATTTACAAATGTGAGTCTGATTTATTCTGCTTATGAGGGGAGTCTCAAGTTGCCTCCCTTTACCATTAAAAGCTTCAAGATCATCCTTTTTATAGCCAACTAATATTCCATTGTACAAAAATACCACATCTTTTTCATTCAATCTGTGGTTGATGGGCATTTTGGTTGTTTCCAAGATTTAGCTATTACAAATTCATGCAGCTATAAACATGGATGCACATATATTTCTGTGTACATAACCTTTTCAGTTTTTCTGGGAAAATACTCAGGAGGAGAATAGCAAGATTGAATGGAACTTCCAATCCTAGATTTTGGGGGAATCTCCACTCTGATTTCTATAGTGGCTGCACCAGTCTACAGTCCCACCCAACAGTAGAGAAGTGTTCCTTTTTCCCTACAGCCCCGCTAATATTTGTTATCAGTTGATTTCTTGATGGCAGCCATTCTTTCCAGATTGAGATGGAATTTTGGTGCTGTTTTAATTTGCATT